ACCCACCGCGGGACCGGAGCGCCCCGGGCGGGCCCCGCCGCGCCTGGGGACCGCCCGGCCTGGCCGGGGCAGCGGGGGAGAAGCAGCCGCCGGCCCGGGAGCGCCAAACGGGGTGAGCAGGGCCGGGTACGAACCAGGGGCCGTGAGGGACTGCCCGCTGCCGCCCACGTTCCTCAGACGGGGCCTGCGGCTCTCACACAGTGCCCGCTCAATGTTTGTGCCTTTATCTCTCTAAAGGTGAAGCCAATGGAGGAGGAAAAGGAAGAAGCTGTCAGTGAGGAACAAGATCACATCTCCCTGGAAGATGAGACAAGCAGTACAGAGGAATGTCTTCCAGAGGCCGAGGAAAATGAGAAAGGTATTGTGTTTGCTCTACTAGAATGTGTTGGAGTCTTTTCAGGAGGATTTGCCAGCATTTTATCTGTTTCAGAAAGCAAGCATGTAATCAAAAATATCCTGTGGACCGCAGCCAAGAACTTCACAGTGGAGAAAGGACAGCAGCAAATTGAAGAACTAATTTCTGTGAGTCACGATTCTGTCCACTCGGGAAGGCCACACTTTCTCATTGTTAAGAAGTATGAAAAATTAAAGGAGAGCACCTCTGTTCCTTTTTAGCACCACACTCAAGTCAGCTCTACTAGGCATAGGGAGTCTTAGTGTGATGTGTTTGTTCAACAGACATGGGACATTCATGAAAGCTGGCTTCACCACTCAGAATTTCTTGAGGAAGAAGAACTGAAGGACAGCAAGAGGTACCATTACAGAGCTTGCTGGGGCATCCCAACACGCAGAAAACCCATCCCACGAGCAACAGCGAGTGTCTACTTCGTTATAGTGATTTCCAAATTCAAACCTGATGTAAGTACTCAGAAATGGTGTGGATGGACTAGTCCTTTAAGGGACAAGAGTACAGTGGCATTCCTGAGGACAGTGGAGAGGCTGGCGAGGAGCCAGCAGCTCTTGTGAAGGTGCTGACAAGGCCTGGACATGGCCAGAGCAATGGCAGGAGATTTGGATGTGGCCTAATAGAAACATGCCATTGGCTGGCAAGGGGAGCAAGGCACAGAGCAGGAGGCTGGGTTAGTTCCCAAATCACTGGCTGACAGAACTCGCCAAACAGAATCTGGCAGGATACTACATCTGCCTTCCTGCTCTTACCATCTTCCCTTTCCAAGCAACAATTGTTCTGGGCAGCTGTAAGAAGGGCTGAGTAGAGGCAGTTACAGAATGAGGGGTCAATGAGAGGTCAGTAGAGAGGGAGTGCCACTTCACTCTTCAGGCTGTCTCAGAATCCCTTTCCTCATCAGCCTGAAGTTTGCACCTGTACAATGAACTCTTGCAACTCAAGGGAAAAAAATGAAATAAATTGCACTGAATAGACTTCTTACCTCCAGGCTTAAGTCATACTGAACTTTAGTGTTTCTACTTAACAGCTATGGATTCCCCAAATAATATTCTCTGGTTTAACCCCAGCTGGCAACTTAGCATCACAGAGCTGCTTGCCCACTCCTTCCCCACTGCCATGGGATGGGGGAAGAGAATTGAAAGTGTAAAAAAAGTGTAATAATATTAAAAATAAATAGAATAATAGTAACAAATTGGGGAAAATAAAAACAAACTGAGGAAAAAGCCCTATAAAGGACAAGTGGAGCAAATGAAAACAATTACTCACCACTCGCCAACCAATGTCCAGCCAGTCCCTGAGCAGCATGTTCCCTTCTGCCCCAACCAAATATCCAGGTTATTTTTAAAGTAAACAGTAGCTCTCACTCAATTACAATGTCTGCTTTTTGAGGGGCTGTACATGGCCTCTGCCCTGTCTCTGCTGTGTTGCAGACTGCACCTGTGGAGGTCTTCTACAGACTGGAGTCCAGCAGGCTGATTCGGAGGTAAATGTTATGACTCTTCTGTTTTAGCAAGCTTTTCCATTCCAAAACCAAACAGGGAGCTCCATGTAAATAAGTTTGCAATAATAGCAGAGGAGTGGAAGTTGTCAAAGTCTTGCTCTGTGAAATGACCCTGCTTATCACTAGCTTCACCCCCAGAGGCATGAATAGCCACCCTGTGAGCATTTGCATTCTCAGAAATTTGTCCTGCTTTACATGGTCTTTATTGCAGCAGATAGCCTTAGGTGGTGAATGAAGGCCAGATCTCACCTGTCCAAACTTGGATTCAGTATTATGCTTACAATCTACCTTATTTTTATTCCATTCTCCAGGCCAGAACAGTGTGAGTTTAGAGAAAAGTGGCTTCAGGACATAATTGAAAATAAAATAATGTGTGCAGAAAGGCTTGCTTCCCGATGAGCAGCTCCAATTCACCAGTACCAGTCCTCTGTTGTGGAGAACCAAATAAACACAATGAAAAAACACCCTCTTCCTTAGCAGCATTTCTACTTTGTGGATAGATAAAAAGCATTGAACCTGTGCTAAATCAGCTATGCCCTGCCATGGCAGCTGTCTGTGTGTGACAGTCCCTGGCAGGTACAGGTGGGGACAGCAGGATGGAACCAGGCTCCAGAGTGTAAATGGGAAGAAGTAGCTGGGCAGGATTTGCTGTTTGTGAATGCCAGGTCTGTGAAACTCCAGGGAAAACATTATAGGACTTTAGGACTTTTATTTTCTTTATACAAATATACAAGACATCTCTGCTACTAGACTTAGAGGAACAAAAAAAAATAAATTAGAACAAAAAAGAATTAACCAACCTCTCCAAACCATTTGGTTTTGAAAAACATTTGAGAAAAAGAAGTTCCAGGAGATATGTTTGGAAATATGCAGTTGAATCAAAGATAACCACCACATAAGCACTGCCTGACCAAAGCCTCCAAGCACGAGTTTAAAACAAGCCATGTAATACTGCTGAAACAGACCAAAGTAAAATACTACAGGAGTTAAAACAAGGGTTTAATCTAGAACACTTCCACAAACAAAAACATTTAAAATAAATTGAAAGATACATCCTTGTTACCACCTGTGTACATCCAGGGGTTCCAATCACTGCACCCCACTGCACTGATGCCTATGTATAACATAGGAGAAAAGAAGCAAGCAACTTGGTTCTTCACCATGCCTTTCAGTGATTGAAGATCAGACCCTCCTGTTACTGTTACTTTACACCTCAGTTGCTATCTGCTTGCTATAAAGTAACTGAAGCCCATCTGTATTAAATTACAAACTAATTTACAAAATATGTACATGTCTGGGTTGAATCACAAACCAAACTCAACTGTTTGGAGGAAAAACCTAAATTTAAAAGACTTGTGAAAAAATAGTGAACTGTCCTGGATCTTAAAACAGGAACTTGGGAGTTCTTTCATTTTTGCTACTGGTGCTAGTAGCTTGTTAAAGGTCTTTCCCAAGCTAAATGATCCTATGATTAATAAAAATAAATGGAATTTTAAAAATCACACTTCTTGGCATTAGGTAACAAAACCTTTGATGCTTTGGCTTGTTGGATTCAAAGTGAGTGCAGAACATTGACACCTCTAATCTTCCCCGCCTGTTCTTGCCTTGCAGCCTTTCTCTTTACAGGGATTCCTTGTAGATGCTAAACGAATCATCCAAGAAAACCTGATGAAAATAACTGTGTTTCCCTGGCACAAGTAATCCACTCCTGAGGCTTGGCCCTGTTGGGTGAAAGGTGCTGCAGCACCTGCAGCTTTCTTCAAATCACAACTGGACTGCACTAGCTGCCACGTAGTGCAAGCTATGGTGTACAGCTCAAATGAAGCATTATTTTTCCTCTTTGCCTTTAGTCTTTCTGTAGACCATCTCTCGAAAGCTCGCAAGGATCTTATTCTCTCGCTTCCTCCTCTCCTCCTGGTTGAAGGATGCCAGAGCTCTCTTTTCATCGGCGCTGTAGATCTGGTTCTCTTTCCGCAGACGCACAGCTTCCATGCGCCGATGTCTGTGGGGGGAACACGGGGCACATCAGCACGGGCACGGGGTGTCAGTGCCCTGGCTCAGCTTGCAGCCATCAACTGCCCTCAATGTGTTCAGGGGCTTTAAATAAAGATACTGAAGTACTAAGGCCTGAACAACAGGCTCTGAGCCAAAGCTGACCACTAGATGAACCTTCCAACAAAATGTTATATTTGTATCCACTCATTAAGGTAATATCCATGATCATTAGTGAAACATGTAGTGTGGTAAGAATATACTTATTTTTCTGCATTTAGAAGCCAGACAAAATCATGAAATCAGACATCTGACCTTGTTTGAAGGTATATGATCAAAGCCACCTCCCTTGGTTCCTCCTTGAGCCCTGGCTAGGATTTGGGTGGAACCCAAGAGGAGGATGAAACCAGCTGTTGTTCCTGCACTAGAAGTTGTGTAAGCTTGTTTATTCTACAGTCTAAAAGCTGGGCCCTCTCACAGTGAAGATGTCCACCTTGCCTACAGGTGGACACACCAGGTAGGAATTTCCAGGAATGGTTCTCCAATCCTTTGCTGTGACTGGGGCTCCCCAGCTCATGTGCAGATCTGGATGATGGTAAAGTATTAGGTTAACTGGTGATGTATCTTTCTTAATCACTCCAGGCAATCTTTTGCAGTAATTATTAGGTGCATTACTTAGCTTATCCTTTGTAATTCTTTGCAGTTTTGCACTGTAGCAAATTATACTTAGTCCTTAAAGTTGGTATCTGAATCTTTTGTGCTGGCCCTGCCAACTGGCAAAACAGATATCTAAACTAGATAATCCAAACTGCACACTAACCTTCCCAGGAAGGAGTGTGGCAGAGCAAGGAACTGATTTCTGGGGATGTCTGTTCTCAGGCAGTCAGCCAGAAGCCTCCCCTACCCCCAGGGTGTCAGCTGCTGTGTTTGCTGGCTCACCAAAATTAAAGTGAGTTTCCTGCTGGTCATAGAGAAAAAAGTGCAGCCAACCTCCCACACATTGATCTGTCTCCTGCAGAAGAGCCAGCACATCCCCAAGGCTGCCCAAACAGACCACCTTTAAGCCAATTGACACAAGCACTTCTTAATTTGAAATAATTAGAAGAGTATTGCCTGTGAAGAACTTTTGCTCTTAAGGAGAAAGTGTCCTTGAAAAACTCACTATCCACCTCTAGCAATGGGGAGCTTAGCATAGATCACTGCAAGCAGAGCACCTTCTCCATGCTTGCAAGCTGAGCTTGGAAGCAGTCTTCTCTTCAGCCAGCAGAGAAAGCAGCTCTTGAAAATTCCACTGAACCACTGCCATCATCAAAACCATACCTGCTGCCACTCATGACATAACCAGAGCTCTCAAAGGAAGCGATCTCCTCGCTGGTCAGGCCGATTTCACCTCTGCGGGGAATGCGTTTCCCTGCTTTCACGTACTCTGCCATGGCTGCACCTTCACCGGGCAGGAGGGCATGTCCATAGCTAAAAAACAAAAGTGGGGATTTCAGTCAATTCAGATAGAGAGAGCCTGAGCTAAACATCCAACTTTACTCTTCACAACTGCATACAGCTGCAATTTTAAACACTTTCTTAATTCTTTCCCACATATTGGCCTGTTTCTTCCTTATGGCAACACTAGCAACAATATCTTAAATTATCACCTGAGTTCATTCTGATGACACTACAAAGTCACAATACTGCAGATCTTTAGAATAAAGGCACTTACAATTGATTTTTCTAGGAATCAAGGCTAAAAAGCATAAACCAGACTCTTCTACCCAAATTCAGGCCAGGGGAAAGCCTAGCACCACTAGAACTTCTGTCTGTGAGTTTGGCACAGCATTTCTCCCTCTGCATGCCTTATTGTTGCAACAGCCCTTCTGAACAATAACTTTCACAATTGATTTACTTGATTGATCAAAGTACCATTAGAACTGGCTACTCACTTCAAAGGCCTATCATCCTGAGATGCGTGAGTTTTGGGAGCCTCTGGTCCAATCAAACTGTCAGCTTCAGTATTTTCTGCAACAATCAAATAATGAGGAATATTAATCTTGTGTCCATTGTTATTTGTTATCAGAAGGGTTACACAGGTCAGCAACACCTAACAACGAATTCACAAAAAGGACATCAAGAAGTTTCCACCCAAGTCTAAAGTCAGGTGAACCTACTTGACCTCTCTATCCAGAGATCATCCCCCTGGAGCATTTCATCATCGGAATCTTCGCTACTTGAATCACTGGATTCCTTCCTGCTCTTCTTAGCTTTCTTCTTCTTATACTTCTTCCTGTGATAAAGCCAGACAGACATGCTATTTATCAAAATTTAAAATTAAAGAAGATGCTTGGAATAATACTCAAATAATTCGTTCCTCAAGGCAACTTCCACCTATAGGAAGAATGACTGTCTGCTGTTTCATACAAAACACTTTACAGCAAAGCCAAGACAACACATATGTTCTGACTTTCATAGAGTGTTAGAAAGTGGCTCTACAGGGAGTTGTTTGTGCTGCACAATTGTGTAGATTTAAATAAAATCCATCAAATTAATATTATTTGCCAGCTCTTGCAAATGACCTAAGGTCCTCAGGCTCCCTCAGGGCCTGTGAAGAAAACTGAGCTGCCCTCCAGTGAACAGCAGCCAGAATGACACAGCAACCAAGACACTTACTTTTTGCTCTTCTTTTTCCTCTTCTTGCTTTTCTTTTTATCTTCATCTGAAAAAAAGACAGTGTATGTATTATCAAAAAGAAATTATTAGTCATAACTAAGTAGTTTACTGCCGTGAATAACATGTCACGCCTTTTACAGCCCCAGTGTTCACGGAGCTGTGGGCTCTTTGACTCTCTCAACCCTAACCCTAAGTCCTAGCCCTAACCCAAACTCAACAGTATTGGTTTTCCAGGTCAGAAAGATGAAGGAACAGGAATACTGGGGCCTTGCTGGCATGCCTTTTCCAGTCCCAGTGGGATTGCCTTGGCATGCCTTTTCCAGTCCCACTGCTCCTGGAGCCGTAGGCTCTTTTACTCTCTCAACCCTAAGCCTAACCACTCCCCTAACCCTACTGCTAAGAATTACACTAACCACTACCCCTACCAATTAACCTAACTCCTGCCCTAACCCTGAGCCTGTTCCCAGCACTAACTGCCTCCACCAGAATGCCCTAGTACACACCCTGATGGGGCTTGGTTATACTGGGAAAGCGTTAGTAGAAAGCTCCCTGCAGTACTGGTCGACATGACAATGTATCAAACAGATCTCTGGCATGGGAGGCCCGGTGGATGCTAAATTCAGAAATCCCATTTCCTGAGGCCAGACTGCAAGCTGAAACCCTCTGGTCTTACCACTGGAGTTCTGCTCAGACTCTGAGTCACTGTCGCTGTCCTCAGAATGTTTCCTGCGCTTTCTTTTGGATGCTTTACGTTTTTTCTTTTGTCTTTTCTTCTTCTTTTTCTTCTTTTCCTCTGCAATGTTTTTAAACATAACATTAGAGAACAAAGAGCATCTCGTTTCATATGTATTCCCTGATCTTCCCAAAGCAACGCTCTC